TGTTCTATTGGAATTATTTGTATAATAATTAATTGTGAGTTTGAATATGATTAATTTATTCAGGTGAGTACCAAGTTTGGAGATTTATTAGCATTTAGCGGTCCAGCACCAGAAAGGATAAACGGGAGACTAGCAATGGTTGGATTCGTGGCCGCGATTGCGGTAGAGCTCTCCAAGGGAGAGAACGTGTTTGCTCAGATCTCGGACGGTGGAGTCGGGTGGTTTATTGGAACCACGGCGTTGCTAACGTTAGCATCGATGGTTCCATTGTTCAAAGGAATAAGGGCAGAGTCAAAGTCCAAAGGGTTCATGACCTCAGACGCCGAGCTATGGAATGGTCGATTCGCCATGCTCGGCCTCGTGGCCTTGGCCTTCACCGAGTACGTCAAGGGTGGAACGATCGTCTAAGGCTTTTTCATTTTTATTTTCCTAGTATTAATTTGCTCTTTGGATTTGTTTAAAGGGTAAACTTTTGGAGGATGATGATAAAGTAGTAACGCAATGTTAGATTTTAATATGATTTTTAAAAGCTATGAATCAAAATTTACTTATTGGTTCGATAATAACAAGAACTTGGGATTTGGCTGATTTACTGCCCAAGATTCCTTGGTGGTGCAGTAAATACTGGTGCTGCAGAATGGACAGAGAATCAGTACGTAAACTTCGTATAATACAACAATTAGTCAGTTAAAGCATGTTAGAGTTTTCGGTAACATCATTTTCAAAGCAGAATTGGGAACTGGAAAAAATGAAATGAGAAATACTCCTAGAAGATAAATAAACATTGAAAAAGGAAAATCTAGAGAAGAATCCGAAACATTAATTTGGCCCAATATTTTCACCGTTAGTCAAATTTAACATTTTGTATATAACAAAAGGAAGAAAAACAATATGTTTGAAGGAAATTTATCATTTCTTATTAGATACTTGTTGTCGTGTGTTTGTCAAAAGTGTTTGAAACCCGTCTTCTGTTGATGTTGTGCGAAAATGCCTTTTGATCAATTGGTTCTAGACTCGGAGCAAGATAGCCAATTTGTCGGCAAAAAAACCCGTCTTTGTTGTGGGATTGGCATTTGGTTTCTCTATGTGGTTTTCTATCGTCTCTTTTCATAATGTAGTTTCAACTCAAACTCAATAAACTTCCGGTGAAGCGAAAAAAAACAAAAAAACAACTTTTAACTTTTTAATGAAATGTTGAATTTGCCTAACATTGGGACTATTTCTGCAAAAAAATGTGAAGTTTGACCAAAAGTGAGATTCTTAAGTTTGACTAAAGCTAAAACAATTCAAAAAAATAAATGTGAAGTTTGACTAATAGTGGGATTATTTTGGCTATAAATCTTAAGTTTGACTAAAGCTAAAACACTTATTCGGCCAAATAAATATGGAGAGACATATAAAGATGGTAATTTATAATCTTACATGCTATAGAACATTACAACACAATCATAATGCCAAAACCACACGAATCAAACTGTCTTCGGTTTCAGTGGATAATAACATAACAATGCATAAAGACAACATCTAACCATACATATCCTCCAACATCAGCCAGACATCTCTCTTTATTGTATACTTAAGTTTTATTGATATCTGATGCCTGAGCGACTCAGTCCTCTACGCTGAGGTGTCTATGGCACGGTCCCCAGCCACCTTCACGAAATTATCGACGTATTCTTTCCTGAAAAAAGGCCGTTTCACTATCCATGAGTTATCAAAATCCCGGGGAAAACAGTTATCTTGCCTCTTTGTTTGGAAATACAAATGCAGAGTAAAGCTTTTGATGAGACAAAAGAGGAAAACGTAACATTGTACCTTGCAGGTAGATGGTCGTGTGGGCGATTGTATGGTGTCCACACCGGTTCACCCACGAAAAGCCGCATTGCCTGTTTTATACCAGAAATTTTAAACTTGTAAGAAACCAAAAAATCAACGGTAGTTGCCACGTGAATTTGAAAGTCTTTTGTGTTAACATCGAAATGTGCAATGGGTAGTTATAACCTTGATATAGTTGTCTGAGTCCACGGTGAAGCGGTGATATATTCCAGCAGGCAAGACTATCATCGCCCCTTTCTTTACCCATACCCTAATCCAAGCTTCATTGCGATCCCTCACATCAAAGTAACCTATTTCCCAGGGAGAAGAACATGAGGATCTATATCGAAAATTTTCAAGTAAAGCAGCAAATAAGAGTACCTACCACTTCCTGCAACGCAATAACGGATCTCTTCATCAGTGTGCAGATGTTCCTCGAAAAAGCTCTTTACCTTCTCTTCATAGTTTGGAAGCTTTGCCGGACACACCTCACAGAAGTCCTGAATTTAAACACTTTTCTATCGTCAAACCAAGGCTCAAGCTTAGACTTTAATAAGAAAGAAAAATGAAAATGTTGAGGTAAATCATCAACTAGTTATCATCAAAAAGTTTCAGTTCAACAAGTCTAACAGAGAGGGAAAGACTTTTCTATGTTTTACGATCTACAGGAAGTTAATGCTATCAGAAGGTGGAGAGCTGAGTAACCGGTAAGAACCGAAGCTGTAAACTACTCGTCAACTCACAAAACCAGAGAGACTTGATCATTGAGAGACTCTCAAGTCTCAAACCAATTCGATACATCCTTATAAACCCAGCCTTTCATTAACTGCTCTCTAAGCAATACACAACCGCTATAATCTGCTAAATTCAAGTCCTATGCTAGATATAGTAGACATATAGATAAGACTTTGAGTAAAACCCCTGTGTATAACATTGCCTTATCAAAATAGTATTCAAGCCTAAACGGATACCAAACAAAGATAAAGGTCACAAACCATGTAGGAGTAACCGCGAGCTTCACGAATCTTTTTCAATTCCTCATCGGTTTCATAGTTATCAGCATCAAGTCTCCAGCTAAGTACTCCCAGCTCTGCGCACACAAAAAAAACTCACATGT